TACATCATAAATTCACGTATAAAAAAGTCCAAACAAATTATATTTATAAGAGCTGATTTTTCAATGCTTAGATAAAAGTTACCTGGGGAATAATTATGATGCTGTCGCGTCACAATGTTTGTATAAGACAGTGACAGCAACAATTTTATTCCTCAGATAACATTTATTTGACTATTGAAAAATCAGCCCTTAGTGGATTAACAAGAATCTTTGAATTATACTTATAATATGTAGATAGTTGTTACTTGTTCCCTGCTTAGACTATTTTCTCATGTAGCGCCACCTAGTAACAAAATCAGATACAATAATAGGCCTCAAAACTTTGGAGTATGTATATATACTATAAAAAGCTATCCGATCCAAAAAATGGCTGACTGACACCCGGTTTTCTAAAGGCCGATCAATGTTAAAATTAATTTAATCTCTTGTCAAGTCATCTGATTGGTTGACTGAATTATCAACAACCAATCAGACGACTTGACAAGAGATTAAATTGATTTTAACATTGATCGGCCTTTCGGAAACCGGGCATGAGTATACTCAGATGTAACTACTGCGTGTAGATTATTACTTTTAGCGCGCTAGAGGCGGGCAGAGAATTTAACTCCAAAAAATCGGATCGTACAGCGATTTTTACAACATACGTATACAGTTAACATTATTTTGAAAATAACGACTTTATCGCGTAAATAACCGAGGAAAGCTCGACTAGTTTCAAGTCACAACGGGACTCTTATTTGAAAAATAGCCCAGTTTTCGACCTTTTACAGTAAATTCACGTGTGAAGTCATAATTTTCAATGAATTTAGTATGTTTCACCATAGTTACTATTCAAAATAACATTAATTTGTACAAAATAAACAACGATGGCACTGTTCAAAGTAAAGAACGATAAAAAAAAACATATTTGCTCATTCTCAGTAGGTAAGTTGATCTCATACAATCTCATGAGTTGAAAGCTTGAAAGACAGGGCTTTAGCAAAAATGCCTCTGAATATATAATATAATTAACTAAATGCATACTTCGTTTAATATTTAACGGAATTTTCTGACTACAGAATTATAAATAAAATTAAGGACATTAGTTTACTGACGCGAGCAAAGCCGCTGGTACAAGCTAGTAAGTATTCAAAAACAAAAATGTTGTATTCCAAAAAAATGTTTTTTCAAAAATTAGTGATTAATTAGTGTGCTAAGTATTTTGAAAAAATCAATTACGTAAATTTTTCAAATAAATATTATAATAATAGCATGATATGTCTAAATAAATTATTAATTTATTTTGTATTAAATTCAATATACAAACCCTACCATAATAAAATAGAGTTAAACGAACCAAAGTTGCCATACTAAAAAAAAGCTCAAGAGTTGCCAACAATAAAAATACTGTTTCTACCAATATCGCAATGCATCATATTACAATTTACGCAATTTAATATTATAATAATTTATATTAAAATCTTTTAGGTTACACGATTATCGACTTTATAGTCGATTGTAATAAGTTACTTTTTTACGTACATAAATGCATATACCCTCATATTTATGTAACTCTAATACAATACTACGTATACATGTCTGCTTGCACGTCATAAACACTTCTACTGTCTCAGAATAATATTCTATCACCATACCATTTGATTACCTGATGTTAAGCAATCAGCGCCGCCCATGGACACCGGCAACACCAAAGGAATTGCCCGTTTTTTAGGAATTGGGAGTACTCGTTAGTCGAAACCTGGCAAGTACCAATGTGACTTTTTCCGAGTTACATGTACTTTCTATGATTATTTAGACACCACTGACATACGGTGCAGGAAAACATCGTGAGAAAACCTGGACTTATAAATTCTAATTATAAGTTTGAAATCGGCAATCCGCCTTGAGCGAGCGTGGTGATTAATGCTCAAACCTTCTCCGTGTGAGAAGAGGCCTTTGCTCAGCAGTGGGCACTTATAGGCTGATGATGATGAAGATTATGATGACACCATAGGCGTCACAAGAGCTCCGGTAACCTTACTCACACGGTGAAACACAACGCTGTGGTTGTTTCACGCCGGTTTCCTGTGAGGCCGTGGTATCACTCCGGTCGATCCGATCCCCTTTTTATTGTAATCAAATGACTTCTCCCGCCCAGATTAGGGCGGGAGGGAGTGTCAGACTCTTACTGACTAAAAACCCCCCAGTTCCTACTCCTGTTCTACTCTACTCTGTCGATCCGATCTCTGGTTTTGCCTCGTTAAACATTTTTAGATGGGATATATTTTCTTCCAATATTATTCTGATACAGTCAAGAGATATGCAATTTTAATAATATAAGACAACGAAAGGAAATTTCTAATACCTATGAAATAACCAGCACTGTTTATTAAAGGATTTCATCCAGTCTAGACTCTTTTGAAATTTGTGACAAGCTTTTTGAGAGTTCCTATCTGTTTTTTGAGCACGGTAGATGGCGGTAGCGTAGCTTTAAGTCCATTTTTGGCCGATGACCGTATTGACTTAATAACACTTTGATACCTACTTATTTTTCTTCCAAAAATGACGTTAATTATGACTCTAGAAAAATCTTTTGTCTCTGTCTAACGATACATAGTTAGACAAGGATAGCTATAGCGTATAATAATTAAAATTCGATTTTATCAATTTCGATAAAAAAAACCGATAAATACGTACTCATGTAAGAATCTTCTACATTCTTATTTAACTTATTACATAAATTAATTGTTTCATTACAACTCGTTTGACGGGAGCTTGGCAACACTGGGTTATAGGGTGACCAGTCTAAAAAAACATAATTTCAAAGAGTTGCCAGTCTAAATATTTAAAAATCAATGGCACTTTTCGTTGTAATGTTATAACTCAACAATGCCTTTACCGATTTGGCTGATATTTGTCTTGAATCATTCGTGGAAGTCCAGAAAAGGTTTGTACTAAGAGAATATAAAAAAAAGTAAAACCTTTTTTTTATTATTACTATGCCTAATACGTAGCGAACGTAGCGTGCGCCTAGTATTCTATATATCTAACAACCACTTTTTTGAGTCAAATATCAAAGAATTAGATAGGTTTCTACCTATCATTAAAAACCTTGTCATTTATTTAAAATCAATTCTTTAGTAACATCTGCAAATCACAGATGGCGCTGCTATCGATTTAGGGCACCGACTCCCGTCGAAAACGTTGCAAAAACTATAATAGTCAGTAATTAAAATTTTAACTTAAAACTTAAGTATATACCGGGGTTTTTTAAATTAAAATTTTATTATTTACACTTACGTCTATAAATATACATAACACTAAATTTATATGGCGTTGACTACAGTACATTAATTTATATATATAATATAATACAGACGTTAATATACCTATAGATACTGTTTTAGCCAGAATTCCGCATTACATAGTATAAAACAAAGTCGCTTTCTCTGTCCCCTATGTACGCTTAAATCTTTAAAACTACGCAACGGATTTTGATGCGGTTTTTTTGATAAACAGAGTGATTGAAGAGGAAGGTTTATATGTATAATGACATCCATTAAATAGTGGAGTCATTTTGTATCAATATTGCACCCGAGCGAAGTTGGGGCGGGTCACTAATGAATGATTATAATCAATCAATAATCACAGTATTCTACCCAACTGTAGATAATTCTCACACAAAAAAAAAACACAATTTCCGCATAGATAAAAAAATAGTTTTTTATACCAACAAAACTTTAGGAATTTACTGAGACATCATTTGTTTTTGCGTCAAAAAGCATACCTATAATATTTTTTATGTGATTGAACGACAAATGGTTGAGATTACCTGATGGTAAGCAATCGACCTCGCCCATGGACACTCACAACACCTTTCCCTTCCCCCTTCCCCCAAAAACCTTTAATACTTGGTTAGAACCAAATTATTTCCCTTTAATTCTTTGATATTACGATATCTATATTTATACTTATATTATTAACTAAATAATCTCGCGCGGTTTCACCCGCTGCTCAGCACCATTTGATCTACGATTAGCGTGATGTTTCATAGCCTATAGCACTAAGGAACATTGTAGCTATCTATAATTGAAAGAATTTTGGCAATCCGACCAGCGGTTCCGAAGATTACCCCCTACATACAAACTTACAAATTTTTCCTCATTATAATATTAGTATAGATTATTATTATTTTGTATGTTCCTTTCCACTCACGGGACCACAGAGTCCCGGACTTTTGGAAGGCGTACGAGGAGCTGAAGCCAACTCGCAGAGGCCCGTTGAACAGTTTTAATCTAAATGTGATGGGACATCAGCCGGCAATTATCCCTGTATGCACTATATAAGTGCACCCAAGGACAATCCCCGGTTGATGCAGGACTATTGTGAAATGTGGTAAAAATTGATAGGGTTATAGGTATGGGTTGCTATGGACCGGTGGATATGATAACTATGGAAATACTATGGCCCCTGCCCCTGACCGATATTGATTTACTAAGATTATTATTAGTATAAAGTTGTAGAGTTTGTTTGTTTGAACGCGCTAATCTCAGGAACTGCTGGTTCGAATTAAATAATTATTTTTGTGTTTGTTAGTCCATTTATCGAAGAAGGCTATATAGGCTATGAAACATCACGCTACGATCTGTAGGGGGCGAGCAGCGGGTGAAACCACACTAGTAGTTCGTCTATACTAATATTATAAAGAGGTAAAATTTGTAAGTTTGTATGTAGGGGGTAATCTTTGGAACCTTTCACTGATAGATAGCTACAATGTTCCTGAGTGCTTTAGGCTATAAAACATCACGCTACGATCTGTAGGGGGCGAGCAGCGAGTGAAACCGCGCGAGCATAGCTAGAACTTAATATTCATAATTTTTATTATCTTTCCCCTACCTCAATCCCTAAATCTCCTAGACGTTGCCTCCCAGAAGGTAGGCAACGCACTCATAACTCCTTAGTTGTCGAGGATGTCCATGGGCGACGCTGATAGCTTACCATCAGGTAGGCACTCAGCTCATTGGCCGTAGTATAACATAAAAAAAATCACCAGGATCTACAGTAGATACAACCATGAAAACACCGGAACACTGAAGTCCGACGCGTCCCAGGGACATGAATGACTGTCTTGGATCCCGCAACGAAATAAATTAGAAAATTATTATTACTATAATAGTTTCCACTTCCCTCTGTGAATTTGACACGGGTGACAGTGACTTTCGAGTCTTCTTCTAGATTCTTCTGTTGAATCTTCTTTCTTCTGTTATATCTTCTGTGCGTTGTGTAGTATCTGTAGGCAGTTTACCGTCCGTCTGTCGCGATATTTGGCAGTTATGTAGAGCGTGATTTTCATAACACACTCCTGTAAATAAGAAATATTTTTAATTATTTTTTGTTGAGTAACGCTGTTGGGTTGAGATCTGGAGTTGAGTAGGTGGCGTCCCTTATCATCATCCCACCCATTTCCACATCAGTCACTTGGAAGTGACATGTACAAAGGTCTAAGCGACTTGTCTGTCTAAAATGGGCAAAACTCTTTAATAACACAGATTGAACTAGACCGGAGTGATACCACGGCCTCACAGAAAACCAACGTGAAACAACCACAGAGTTCTTTCGCCGTGTGAGTGAGGAGACGGTGGGACAATCCTTCCTCAATTCCTAATCCCCAAAAGATCGGCAACTCCTATCCTTCCCTTCCCCCAATCTCAAAAGGTCGGCAACGCACTCCTAACTCCTCCGTGTTGCGGGTGTGCATGGGCGGCGCTTATTGCTTACCATCAGGTAATCAGACTGCACGTCGTCGTTTGCCGTTCTATCACATAAAAAACTCTCAAACTTCCAACTTATAAAACTTCTACTTAATAACACCAAGCAAGACATTACTGCGAATGTATCAACTGGGAATCGAACCCAAAGCCTTAACTTATATATTTTAAAAATACCTTATATTTTAAAATAAATAAAAGATGATTCACTTCTTAATATTAAATGTATGAAAGGGACTTTTAACCAAAAACAAAAAAGAAACATAAAAAACTAATCATAATATGACTGGCTCGAGGGAAAAGGGATAAGAAATCAATTGTAAATCTACATCTATACTAATATTATCAAGAGGTAAAATTTGTAAGTTTGTATGAAGGGGGTAATCATTAGAACCGCTTGAATATAAGTGTGGGAGAGCCAAGCTTCGGCACGAATAGGTCGGCTCGACCGGAGTGATACCACGGCCTCACAGAATACTGGCGTGAAACAACCACAGCGTTGTGTTTCGACGTGTGAGTGAGGTTACCGGAGGCCCAATCCTTCCCCTCCCTCGATCCCTCCCAATCCCAAAAACCCCAAAACCCTAATCCCTAAAAGGTCGGCAACGCACTCGTAACTCCTCCTTTGCAGGTGTCCATGGGCGGAGCTGATGGCTTACCATCAGGTAATCCGTATGCTCATTTGCCGACCTACTACATAAAAAAAGGAGAATTGCTGGGATAATATTTCTAATATATATATTCGCAATAATGTTTCTTTTTATAGTGGAAAAATGATCGAATGACTTCTCCCATCCAGGGTCGGGCAGGAGTGTCAGACTCTTACTGACTAACCCTCCCTCCACCCGTTCCTTCTCATGCTCTGGGCTGAGACCCGGCTGAATATCAGCCCTATAGGGCGCAATAATATACCGCGACCTCGGCCTAGAGCGGAAGGAACGGGTGATTTTTAGTCAGTAAGAGTCTGACACTTTCTCTCATCATACCTAGGGCGACCGAATAAAAATCATTTGATGATTTCCCCCCATCCCAAAAAAAAACCGAAAATCACTCTGTATTCCCTAAAAACAAATTTAATGACAACCCCCCTCCCTAATCCCCTTATCTCAAAGAAAAAAAAATGGGAAGGAAATAATGATTAGAATGCGTATTATCACCATTAGAGGAAGAGAACGGGCCTGTCATGTGCGTCCTGGTTGGGCCTGTCCTGGCGATCCTGGCGGTCTCTGTCCGACCCGCTCGAGGTGGACTTGCGCTCGTCCCGCGTCTCCTTGCCCGTCACACGCTCCGACCCACCGCTGGAGCCCCCGGAACCGGATACAACGCTCTCTTCTCTGTTGTACCTGAAATTGTATTGATTTGGGTTAATATAAGATGGAAAATTTTAGGCAAAAATAAGTTATTAGGGACAAAACCGCTGCAACTTTTGTGCACCAGGATCTTCAGTGGATACAACCGTAAAAACACCGAAACACTGAAGTCCGGACATGAATGTCTGTCTTGGATCCCGCAACGAAATAAATCACAAAATATTATTTGAGGAGAAGAAAAACCAAGATTTACTTTGAGTTTCACTGTGTAAGTGATGGTAGTGGAGGTTCTAACCTTAACTCCACAACCCTAATTCCCCCAATGCTCAATCCTCTAACCCCACATCGCTAAGTACCCCAATCCCCTAACCCCACATCGCCAAGTACCCCAATCCCCTAACCCCACATCGCCAAGTACCCCAATCCCCTAACCCCACATCGCCAAGTACCCCAATTCTCAATCCTCAAATCCCACATCGCCAAGTACCCCAATCCTCAATCCCCTGACCCCAATTTCACAAACCTGAAATCTGAACCCCTTACCCCAATTCCCCCAATCCTCAATCCTCAACCCTACATCCTCAAACCTCAGAACATCTGATACCTCTTGCATGTAAATCACCTAAAACTCTTTTAAGATCGCGTGTATCCATAAACGGCGCTGTTTGCTTACCATCAGCTGATCCGTCTGCTCGTTTAGCCGACCTATTCTACAAAAATAATGAAGATATTGGGATGAAACTCACCCATAAACAGTGTGTTCGCTGTTGAGACAGGACGAGTACTTGAACGGGATGGGCTGGTAGCCGTAGGAGCCAGCGTACGGCATGTAGCCGGGGCCCATTATACTGTAATACACAATGTAACATATTAATATATATTTTTCTATACAATATACTAGCTACTCTCGCGCGGTTTCACCCGCTGCTCGGCTCCATTTAATTGTAGCGTGATGTTTTATAGCCTATAGCCACTAAGGAACATTGTAGCTATCTAATCTGTGAAAGAATTTTGGCAATCCGACCAGCGGTTCCAAAGATTACCCCCTACATACAAACTTACAAAATTTACCTCTTTATAATATTAGTATAGATAGTCATCGTAGAGACTTGGAGGTTAAGGCGCCCGCTTCTCATGCATGAGGGTGCGGGTTCGAAACCTGACAAGTACCAATGTGACTTTTTCCGAGCTATATGTACTTTCTATGATTATTTAGACACCACTGACATACGGTGAAGGTAAACATCGTGAGAAAACCTGGACTTGTAATTTCTAATTATAAGTTTCAAGTCGTCAATCCGGCTTGAGCGAGCGTGGTGATTAATGCCCAAACCTTCTCCGTGTGAGAAGAGGCCTTTGCTCAGCAGTGGGTGCTTATAGGCTGATGATGTCATGTAGTGTACGTACTTGGGATTAGGCAGTGGAGCAAGTGTATCGCTGAGCAAGCTGTCAGTGTCTGCGCTGCGCAGGCGCAGGTTGGCGAGCTCGGCGCATAGCTCGCCGGCCACGTAGTAACACTGCTCCGAGAATGTTATCTTGTTCACCGTGTGACGAATGAAGCCGGCCTGGAAGGAGAAATTGAGAAGATTAAGTGTGGGAGAGCCATGCTTCGGCACGAATGGGTCGGCTCGACCGGAGTCATAACACGACCTCACAGAAAACCGGCGTTAAACTACCACAGCGTTGTGTTTCGCCGTGTGTGTGAGGTTACCGGAGGCCCAATAATTCCCCCTTCCCCCATTTCTTAGCAATCCTTAAATATCCGAAACCCTCATCAGCTCCAAAAGGCTAGAAATGCACTCGTAACTCCTTTGGCGTTGCGGGTGGGCGCCGATTGCTTACCATCAGGTAATTCGTTATCTCGTTTGATATGACCGAGGAACAACAATTTGTGGATCACACATAGAGTTATCCCAGCCACCGCACCAACCGTGCAGTCATATGATTGGGGAGGGGCTCCATTTAATCGTAGCGTGATGTTTCATAGCCTATAGCACTCAGGAATATTGTAGCTATCTATCAGTGAAAGAATTTTGGCAATCCTACATACAAACTTACAAATTTTACCTCTTTATAATATTATTATAGATATCCTTACCCCTCCCCATCCTCAATCCTCAAACCCCCATCCTTAAATCCCCAATAACCCACAATAGGTCGGCAACGCACTTGTAGTAATTCCTTTGGTATTACGAGTGTCCATGGGCGGCGCTGATTGCTTACCATCAGGTAATCCATCTGTTCCTACGCCGTATTATCACATGAAAAAAGCATATATACGGTCGAATTGAGAACCTCCTCCTTTTTTTGGAAGTCGGTTAAAAAACCCTTCTATCGATATGATCTCTCGCCCCACCCACTCTGGGAGAAGCATTTTAATGATTTTCTCCTCAAAAAGAGGGGTAATATGAAAGAAATATGTTGTATAGTAAAACAGAAGGGTTTCTTAGCCAGATTACCTGATGGTAAGCAATCAGCGTCACCCATGGACACCAGCAAAAACGGAGAAGTCATGAGAGCTTCACTGACCTTTTGGTGATTATGGATTGGAGATTTGCGATTGGGGAGGGGGGGTAAAAAGATCTACAAATACAATAATACCTTTAGCATATGCGAGGCGTATTTCCTAGCGTCCCGACGGTCCGTGATGCCGGCAACGTGCTGTAGTATCCAGTCCACGACGTCGGCTCCTATGAACGCGTTCGGTATCGTGATCTTCAGCCACATACGGTCCCGAATCTCTAGGCCTGAGGAAAAAGGGATTATATGTCTTAAAAAAAGTTTGAAGAATGAGCACGGTAGTTTCCAACTAGTCAAATTCAATACTTTTATCCAAATGTCAAAAACGATTAAAACCTTTCTATAAAATTTGTATGAAACTCCAAATTTCTTTTGTTTCTTTTTTCTTTTTAAACGAAAATGTTGCCTCACATTATGATTTTCTCCTGTGTCGTGGGTGCGTTTACAAACATACAATTCCACATACACATTACACCCAGACTCACGGAACAACAATTTGTGGATCACACAGAGTTGTTCCGTGCGGGAATCCAACCCGCGACACTTTGCGCGGCAGCCAGTTGCCCAGCCACTGCGCCAACCGTGCAGTCTATGTCATAGAGTAAATAATGACGTCATCGTTTCTTTGCACCAAATCGCTTACTTATTTTTTTAATTGCTAAAAAGTATTGAAAGTTTTGTGTATCGATCGATCGATGAATAAAAGTATAGTTATTTTTAATATTTTATTATATTGGAACATCGAATTAATTTATTTTTGACCTAGGAAACTTCACAATTTTAAGAAGTTTGTTGAAAATAAGGACGTACTTGCGTGAAATAAATGAGAAAAGCTCTACTAGTTTGAAGTTACACACATCATCAGCCTATAAGTGCCCACTGCTGAGCAAAGGCCTCTTCTCACACGGAAAAGGTTTGAGCATTAATCACCACGCTCGTTCAAGACGGATTGTTGATTTCAAACTTATAATTACAAATTATAAGTCCAGGTTTCCTCACGATGTTTACCTTCACCGTATGTCAGTGGTGTCTAAATAATCATAGAAAGTACATATAACCGCCCCGGCTTCTCACGGATGCAATGCTGATACTAAATGTCTCCACTATTTAATGGATGTTATTATACATATAAACCTTCCACTTTAATCACTCTATCTATAAAAAAAAGCGCATCAAAATCCGTTGCGTAGTCTTAACGATTTAAGCGTACATAGGGATATAGGGACAGAGAAAGCGACTTTGTTTTATACTATGTAGTAATTTGGAAGATCCAAATAACTTATACTCACCGGAATCAGGCCTCAACATAGCTCGGACCACAAGCGCCATATCCATGTTGACTGACAGCTGGGGCTCTAGGGCTCCAGCAGGGACCGTGCTTGCGTCACTGGCGCCCCTCTCCGACACTGAGGAGACTGGGAGGGCTGAAAGTGAGGGCGGTGGGGGAGGATACGCCTCTCGGAGTGCTTGCGTATGAGCTACCCATGCACCTGTGAAATGTAAAAATGTATAATTAGATAGGAGAGCCAAGCTTTGGCATAAATGGGTCGGCTCGACCGGAGTCGAGAGACCGGCCTCGCAGAAAACCGGCGTTCGCTGTGTGAGTGAGGTTACCGGAGACCCAATCCTTACTGACTAAAAACCCCCGTTCCTTCTCCAGCTCTAGGCCGATGCCGCGGTACCATATTGCGCTTACCCCGCAACCCCGGCTGAACATGGGTTCTTGTCTTTTGCTTACCATCAGGTTATCCGTCGCTCATTTTCCTTCCTATACCATACTAGCGACTGTGGCGCGCGGTTTCACCCGCTGCTCGGATCCTATTAACCGTAGCGTGATGTTTTATAGCCTATAGAACTCGGGAACATTGTAGCTATCCATCAGTGAAAGAAAGTAAGTGTAGGGGAGTCAAGCTTCGGCATGAATGGGTCGGTTCGACCTTCGACCGGAGTGATAGCACGGCCTAAGAAAACCGGCGTTCGCTGTGTGCTTTATCCATCCGAAACCCTTATCCCCAAAAGGCCGTGTTGGTGTTGCACTGATTGCTTACCATCAGTTAATCCGTCTGCTCGTTTGCCGACCTATCCCATTAAAAACAGTTATGTATCCCGAGATTTCAAAAACAGACGCGTTTAAAGCGATAACTCGACTAAAATACTCAAATCACAAAGAATAATTTTATAGCCTATAGCACTCAGGAACATTGTAGCTATCTATCAGTGAAAGAATTTTGGCAATCCGACCAGCGGTTCCAAAGATTACCCTCTACATATAAACTTACAAATTTTACCTCCTTATAATATTTGTATAGAAGAACTCACCTGGATCAATAGGCCTGACAGGTTCCGTCCTAGGTATAGTGAAGTACCCCTTGGGATTAGGGTCCCAGCACTTGGCCACGACCAACTTGATGGGGCCAGGTTTCTGGACGACCTCGCGAAGCACCCTCACAGCTTCATCATTCGTCATATCTTCAAAGTTAACATCGTTCACCTGGAATTTGATAGAGTTTTATTATTATTATTATTTTTTAGATTCTTGGACGTTATTAAAGTCAAAATCAAAGTCTAATGCCCTGTTTGAAAGGCCGATCAATGTTAAAATCAACTAACTAGGGGTCAAATCTCTTGTCAAGTCATCTGATTGATTGTTGATAATTCAGTAACGCCCGGTTCCTATAATTGAGAAACGATTCGTTTTAATTACGAATAGTAGTTTTATATACGACTCGTAAGCTAAAACCGTTCCTATAATAAACGTCTCGTCGTGCAACTAACTGACGGTTTGCAACTAACGGATATCGGTAAGCGAATTGTATGGAGATCTATGGCGTCTGTGGTTTTCCTATAAATATTTTAACCGTCAGTAGACGGTCAAGATAACCATTCGTAATGTCATTTGGTCGTAATGCGTATACAACGACGATTCGTTAAATATAGGAACCGGGCATAAACCAATCAGATGACTTGACAAGAGATTAAATTGATTTTAACATTGATCGGCCTTTCGGAAACCGGGTGTCAATCATTCATTACAAATAAACCATAATACTTTTCACGTTTCAAAATTAGCTATTACTTAGAGACCTTTTTATTTATCTATTATGATAAGGTAGGCTCACAGCTTATGTATACAAACTAGTTACCTATTTTTTGTTTCTTGAAATGTTATAATCATCTTTTTTATTATAAAAAAATCTCAAATAACTATGTATATATATTTTTATTATAACTTTCGTCATATGCCCGGTTCCTATATTTAACGAATCGTTGTTGTATACGCATTACGACCAAATGACATTACGAATGGTTATCTTGACCGTCTACTGACGGTTAAAATATTTATAGGAACACACAGACGCCATAGATCTCCATACAATTCGCTTACCGACATCCGTTAGTTGCAAACCGTCAGTAAGTTGCACGACGAGACGTTTATTATAGGAATGGTTTTAGCTTACGAGTCGTATATAAAACTACTATTCGTAATTAAAACGGATCGTTTCTCAATTATAGGAACCGGGCGATAATCGTTTTCGATTATAGGAACCGGGCGATAATCGTTTTCGTTATAAGTCGCCGCGTCGCGTGTGGCGGAATGCTGCTCATGAATATGGGCCTCTGGCATGGCTTGAAACTAGTCGACTATCTCGTCAAATTATTACGTGAGTAAGCCGAAAACATAGTAATTAATATTTGAGAAATCATACAGCCCCACACTGTGATTCCCCTGTATCGTGGGTATGTTAATAAAAATACAATTCCACATACACATCACACCCAGACTCACGGAACAACAATTTGTGGAACTCTTGTCCCGTGTAGGAATCGAACCCGCGACATGTGCGATAGCCGGTTATCCAACCACCACGAAAACCTTGCATGTCTTCCGTTTTCAGACTCTTACTGACCAAACACCCCTCCCCTTTCCCCCCCATTAGTTTTTTTATGTTTTATTTGATGCATACGAGTCTAAATCTTTGCAGACGGACCGAGGGCCTATGCTACTTTTATTATCCTTTCGAAAGTTTGTATACCTAACAAATATTTTTAACTTTAACTTTGATCAGTATAAATAATGAAGTATACATATTTGCAGTGGACAGAGAAGAGATTATAAATCAAAGACTAAATTGTAAACTTTGTTATCTTGACATAATCTATAGATTATACGTATGACAAATTACCGAATCACTGATATTCAAATACCAAGTATTACGAGAACGTCTTTTTGATTGGGGTAAAATCATCAAATGACTTCTCGCGCCTGGGGTGAGGCGAGAGGGAGTGCCAGACTCTAACCCCCTTATTATAAAACAAGGTTTATCTTTAGTCCAGGTTTAAACCATTGAGTCGGGTTTTGAATTTTGAATCTTATTGTCATCTACCTTCAATTCGAAATACGAAAACTGGCTCAATGGCTTAGTCCTAGACTAAAGTAAAACCTTGTTTTGTAATAAGGCCGTTACTGACTAAATACCCAGAGTACTACCCTACCTACCCTACATTACCTACCCTACCCTGTCTACTGTCCACTATTCTATATTCTTCTTCTGGTTCTAAACTACATCCCCATCAATTCTCAACAAAATGGGTCCAGCTGTTCTTGAGTTATGAATAGTGTAACTTACACAACTTTCCTTTAGATGTAGTGGTAGTTATGTATTAACCCCGACGCAAAAACGACGTGGTGTTATAAGTTTGACGTGTCTGTTGTGTCTGTCTGTGGCAACGTAGCTCTCAAACGGATGATCCTGTTTTAATGGTTTTTTTTTTGTTTGGAAGGTATATCAGTGGAGACTGTTCTTAGCTATGTTTGGTGGAAATCGGTTCAGGTCATCAGGTTGTTTGTTAAGTGTGATAGGAATGTTACACACTCAGTTTACTTAAAAGGCAAGAACTTTTTCCCATAATATTTGCGTAAATTTTATGGTTAGTCGGGGTATGCTTTTTAATTTTAAATTTTGCCCGGAGGTTAAGGAGCCCGCGTCTCATGCATGAGGGTGTTCGAAACCTGGCAAGTACCAATGTGACTTTTTCCGAGTTATATGTACTTTCTATGATTATTTAGACACCACTGACATACGATGAAGGTCAACATCGTGAGGAAACCTAGACTTCTAATTATAAGTTTGAAATCGCCAATCCGCATTGAGCAAGCGTGGTGATTAATGCTCAAACCTTCTCCGTGTGAGAAGAGACCTTTGCTCAGCATTGGGCACTTATAGGCTGATGATGATGATGATGATGATGATGATGATGATGGTGTTATGAGATGTTAATAAGTGTCAATGCAAGTAAACATAGATTCAGGTGGTATTCTTTACAGACTTTTCTCAAGGGACAAAGATGTCAGTTTACATTTGTGTACTTAATAATAACAATGAAGCAATGAATTTGTTTTATAAAATACACTGTAAAACAGTACTTTAACACAGCAATATTGTATAAAAATATCTTAATGAAGTCGCCATTTCATATGTAGCTACTCTGTGAAAAATACTGAAACAAACTTAGAGGCCAGTCTCTTTTAACACTTAGAACGCCATGTCGGACAATGCTGTCCAACGGTAGCAGTGAGCTTCACTAGAGGACTGACCGGCAGAATGACAATATATAAAAGAAAGTTGTGTTAGTTACTCCACTTATAACTCAAGAATGGCTGAACCGATTTAGCTGAAAATTGGTAGGGAGGTAGTTTAGAGCCAGGAGAAGGACATAGGATAGGATAGAGTAGGTAGAGTAGATTAGGTAGGGTAGGTAGAGTAGGGTGGGTAGTGTAGGGTAGGAAGAGTAGGGTATGTAGATTAGGGTAGGTAGAGTAGGGTATGTAGAGTAGGGTATGTAGAGTAGGGTATGTAGAGTAGGGTAGGTAGAGTAGGGTATGTAGAGTAGGGTATGTAGAGTAGGGTAGGTAGAGTAGGGTATGTAGAGTAGGGTATGTAGAGTAGGGTATGTAGAGTAGGGTATGTAGAGTAGGGTAGGTAGAGTAGGGTATGTAGAGTAGGGTATGTAGAGTAGGGTATGTAGAGTAGGGTAGGTAGAGTAGGGTAGGTAGAGTTGGGTAGGTAGAGTAGGGTATGTAGAGTAGGGTAGGTAGAGTAGGGTAGGTAGAGTAGGGTACGTAGAGTTGGGTAGGTAGAGTAGGGTATGTAGAGTAGGGTAGGTAGAGTAGGGTAGGTAGAGTAGGGTATGTAGAGTAGGGTAGGTAGAGTAGGGTATGTAGAGTAGGGTAGGTAGAGTAGGGTATGTAGAGTAGGGTAGGTAGAGTTGGGTAGGTAGAGTAGGGTAGGTAGTCAAAATATGGGAGTGATGCTGCAGGTAAGAGCAAGTTATTGTTATCAAAAGTGTATTATAATGGTGATATTTAAATAAATGATTCGATTCTATTTGAACCACTATTTAAGAGATAATGATAGCTTAAATAACCCATCATATTTCACAATCGCTGAAGGTACACTTCAATGTTATTTATCAACTTTGCCCCTTAGTAGCATTTGTTCATAAGTATGTTTACAAACAAACAATTCAAAATATACAGAGTCTGTTTTTTTAAAACAAAAAGTACATGAAAGATTGTAGTAGGCAGCGTGCTGTAGTGTATAGGAATATAGTAGATAGCTACTCTAGCGCGGTTTCACCTGCTGCTCAGCTCCATTTGATCGTAGCGCGATGTTTTATAGCCTATAGCACTAAGGCATATTGTAGCGATCTACCAGTAAAGAAATTTTGGCAATCCGACCAGCGGTTCCAAAGATTACCCCCTACATACAAACTTATAAATTTTACCTCTTTATAATATTAGTATAGATAACACTCTTCCCTCATAGGTTTTTTTTAAGGACCAAATCATCAATTGTCTTCTTTCACCTTAGTTAGGGATGAGAGGGAAGACTTTTACTGACTAAAAAAATACTGATTTAAACTCCTGCTCTGAGCTGAGACTAGCTTATTATTGGGTTAGCACGGACATCCCTGGCTCTCACCTCATAACAATGCCCAATTAAAGTGTAATTTTTTATTTAGTAAATTGCTAGTCCTTGTATGTTACAACTAGTCCTTCATAAGTCATGTAAGAGTAGAATAGAGTATAAGCACTAGATTCTATCTTGCATTTGATGAACTGGTACCTATTAGAGTGGAGATTTGGGACATACACCCAATAATTGGGTAGTTTCCTAGGTCAAAAATAAATTAATTCAATGTTTCAATACAATAAAATATTTAAAAATAACTATACTTTTATTTATTGATCGATCTATACACTGAATTTTAGATATTTTTTAGCTAATTTTTAAGAAATAAGTAAACTATTTGACACAAAAAAAAGACATCTTAACTCAGTTTTTCATATAAATTTCATAGAAAAGTATCGTTATGACATTTGAATAAAGGTATTTCATTTGACTAGTTGGAACCTACCATATTAAATATGCGGAAAAACTTCCTTATCAACCATTTACTGAAATTACATACCAAGCCCTCTTCCTCTCTCCTACTATCTTTGCTGTGCCCGACAGACAGGGTCCATAGTGATTCTGCTATATTTATATTTATAAGACTTAATGTACACTATGAAATGCAACAAGTATTGAATATTGAGTATAGCTTTTAAATTCACTATATGATCCATGGATATTGTAATGCAACTCCCATTAAACTGGTTGTTTTCTCACAATTTGCAGGTGAAATACATGTTTTCCCTCTTTTTATCTATTCAATAACAATCTAGACTACCAGGGCCCAAATTCAAATGAATTGATACAATAAAATGACAACATACCTGTAATATCATGTCTCCAGGTTCTATTCTTCCGTCCAGCGCCACGGCACCCCCCTTCATGATGCTGCCGACGTATATTCCTCCATCACCACCCTTATTCGACTGTCCCACTATAGAAATACCGAGGAAATTGACCGTATCCATGTTCAGAGTCACTGTTATGATGTGCATAGACATTGTGGAGTCAGTTATGGAGGAGTACGAAGACGTTCTCGACATTACTTGTGGTCTTTTTCGTCTTCGCTGCGGTCTTTTGCGGGAGCTCACTTGTAGGTGAGACACGCTACTGCATTCTGTGAGCGCTCGGTCCACAGACGCGTTAGTGTGCCGGCCAGTCGTCGTTGTGATCTCCGACTGACTGTCGAAGAGACTGGTCGAATCCAAGTCCGAACTCAGCACCGAAGCCGTCTCGTACTCCAAACCATGATTGCCATACTTCGAGTGGCCGTTTATGCGAAGTCCTCGGTATTTATACTTGTCGCACGACGCTCGGTGGCCCGGCCGCGAGCTGATCGTGCTGTCAGTGTCGGTACAGGTGTCTCGGGTGACGGGCGCCGGAGCACCGTGATTTGGTTTGCCTTTACCAGCATTGCTATCAGTACACTGCGAAGCTCCATCGGAAGGGTTTGAACCCTCAGCAGACACTAACCACGACACTACACGACCGTTAAAACACGGTAAATGCGCGTTATCATCAACAATTTCTTCTTTAACAACACCGAAATCATCGTCCATGGATTTGAAGAAAAACTTATAGTTCGGCCTATTCAACTGGTTTTTAAAGTCCAACAACGTCACTTTCTCCGGCGAGATTGGAATTTTCACTAAATACGGTGTCTCCTCATCGTCTATATAATAAATAACTTTAGTCTCCTCCATTTTTAATGCATTTATTTATTGAATAACAACACCCTTACGATCTATAAATATCGGTCGCCATCACAAATATGGCGATAAAAATAGTTCTGCGATTGGGCACCACGGGGCGCCTCTGGACCTTTCTATTTATCAAAACGTTCGGATACATGCACCAACCATTAAAAGTCACCGCAACACATGACATAAACTTTGAGAGCCGCTGACGTTGTACTGAATTCTCTGTAAGTCTACCGATTTTGTTATCTGTGGCGTTTGTTTATGAATTTGAATTCAAAAGAATCGTTTTCGTTACTTTGTTGTTGTTGAAAAACTTGTGATCTGTGAAATAACATACAAAATCTAAATAAAATCAATCAAAATGACTTCAGAATCGAAAGAAACTTGGTATCTAGATATTGTTGAGAAATTGGACGACTTCTGCAAACGTGTAGACGGTAATTTCCAATAATAATTATGTTTATTTCGTGACAACAATCTTCGATTATCATTCTTATTTCTTCATTTTCTAATATTTACTTACAGAAAAGATTGAAAAAGAACAGCAACAAATGAAAGCATGTAAAAAGAAGACTGAATTGGAAACCAAATTAGCTCAGGAAATGAAATTACACGTAAGTTATTAAAATAAAAAAATTATTATTAAAAAAACAAAATACCCGACTGCACACTAAAAAAAGAGTAAAACAAGCCCCACAATACAAATTTACTGAATATAATTTATAAATGTTGATGGAAAGCATCGCAGGCGGGGACCAACAGAGGCTTATTTATAGTCATTTCTGTTGTGCACCATTTAGCAGAATTTTCGTTGGTGGCGGTCAAGGTGGTCCCCGCCTGCGATGCTTTCCATCAACATTTATAAATTATATTCAGTAAATTTGTATTGTGGGGCTTGTTTTACTCTTTTTTTAGTGTGCAGTCGGGTATTTTGTTTTTTTAATAATAATTTTTTTATTTATAACTTTTTAGCTGTTTTTTTAAAGGGAAATTTAGAAAAAATATTATTATGTCTTTATCCCGTGGGACTTTTAGGATAAAATGTATCCTATGACACTCCCGTAATCAAGACAAATCTAACGATACCTCATACATCAAAATCCATCAAGCCGTTTAGGCTACAGGAGGTCACAAAGGAACAGACATACATACATACTTACATACACTCGAAAAACATTACCCTCCTTCTTTGGCAGTCGGGTAAAAATAAGTTGTGTATTGAATAACAACAAACAATGGGAAAATTAGGTCAACGAGGATCCTTAGGGATGTATTTATAATACTAACAGCACCGAACAGAGCTTAGACAAGCATTATAAACTAGCTTTATGTAATTTCGTAACCCAATAACTAGTGGACAACGTTTTATTTTATGTAGGTACCAACTCATTACCTAATAAACAATAACAATCCTGGTTCTAGGTCTCAATCTCATCTTTATGATGTAAAATCTTAAGTAATAATCTTTAATCTGATCCATTTTTGACCACTGCTCCATAAAACCCGTATTTTAGAGGAACAAAACATTATTAGAGGACTTCTCCCGCTTTGGGTGAGGCGAAAGAGAGTGTCACACTCTTACTGACTAAAAACCAACCGGTTCCTGCTCCTGCGTCGTGCTGAGAACGCGGTACATTATTGTACTCAAACTGGGTTACAACCAGTTCTTATAAACTCAAAGGTCACTAATACCATAATGCTTGACTGTTTTACGGTATTTAATGCGCACATACCTTTTTATATATTTGAGTCTGCTTGTGACCATGGCTGGTGTAACCCTGCCGAAACATCAAGCAAAAAACAAAAAAGATATGTGCACATTAAATTCCCCATAACACGCACACCGACGCACCTGTGCGTTCTATACATTAATGTATTGAACGCACAGGTGCGTCGAGGGCACACAGAGAAACGCACATACGCGTCGGGGGCACTGGATGTGTAAACAGTAAAGTATTAATATACAATATGAAAGTTTAAAGTAAATAAATTTTACTGTAATTCTCAGAATGAGCTGACGGAGCGCCTTGCAGAGCTGGTGCGACGTGGCAGTGAGCTGGACCGTGTCTGTGCTACCTTCGAATCACACCTCACCATTGCAGACAGCGACAGAAATAGATTGGATAATGCCAAGTTCGTATACTTTCTTTTATGGTATATGTTTGGCAAACGAGCAGATGGATTACCTGATGGTAAGCAATCAGCGGCGCCCATGGACACCTGCAGCACATAAGGGTTACAGATATTTACGGATTGGAAAGCAATGGGGAGGGAGCAATTAGGCATCCAGTAACCTCACTCACACGGCGAAACACAAAACTGTGGTTGTTTCACGCCTGTATTCTGTGACATGGACACCAGGATAGTTATAAAAAGAAACATATTTATCGACCGCAACTGGTATGCTGTATGACGTCACTCTACTACTCAAACCCAAAAAAATATCTCTAAAGTGCTTAATTCCGTTTATTAATAATCTTCTTTCTTTAATCTGTCTGTATATTTGACAAATATAAATTCTCTAATCTATTTTTTCTATTCCAGAGAAACATACCAGCTGGCTAAGGAGCTTACAGGCATCAGATGGGACTTCAGTGCTCCTCCTAACGTGGCCAAAGGATGTATCCTTTTACAAACAAATTCTCACTTCTTACTTCTAACTAATATTATGAATACGAAAGTTACGATGTTTGGATGTTTGTTAGGTACTCAATCATACCAAAACGGCTGGACGGATGTGAATGAAATTTGGCACAGGTATATGATAATGAAACAATGAATTTATTTTTGCAAATAGGCTATAAAACGGCACTTTTACACGTCAATTTATATGTGAAAAACTAGATTAAGCCGGCATTTCCTATCTGACTACTCTGGGAAGAAATGGCGAAACAAACTCAGAGGTCAGTCTCTTTTCAAGTCCAGACAATGTCAAAATAACATAATGTGAGAGAACAGATACACTCCGGTATAGGACATAGGCTACTTTTTATCAACATACCGCGCGGGCGGAAGGCATTTAGGCTTTCCCAAGATTTAGCATCGAGTTGACTTAAAAGAAAACCGGTCTTTGCTCTACTCAATCCCTAAATCCGTGTTGTCTGTCCATGGGCGGCGCTGATTGAGTAGTCATATAATTCTGGGAATGTAGTCTCTGCCAATATGAACGTAAATTTCTGTTAGATAATTTAAATGTCTGATCAGGTGCAGTTCATCAGACGGACCTTCTGGAATTTACAACAAATTTCCGTGCGTTTTTGCCATACCTATAATACTGGAAAGAACAAAAAATTTCAAATATGTAGTTAATTTTCCGTGGTGTTTGATGATCGGTGACTGGGCTTCTCCCAGTAGTACAGTCTCTTCTGTGCCTTTAAGGCTTAAGTCATTCTGTCTCCTGCATTAAATTTACCGAGAGAAGTGGAAACTGCTTCGTTTTTTCTTCTCCTCAAATAATATCTTCTGATTTATTTCGTTACGGGATCCAAGACAGTCATTCATGTCCCTGGGACGCTGGGACTTCAGTGTTGCGGTGTTTTCATGGTTGTATCTACTGTAGATCCTGGTGCACAGGAGTTGCAGCGGGTTTGGGAGGCTGTGGAGGTCTTGTCTTAGCCTATGAGGAGTCTTGAGTGTGTTGCAGGTCTTTTGCGGATTAGGATTCCTGATTTATTACCCTGAGCGGTGAGGTAGCGAGCTCTCACTACTAAACTTAAATTCATTTTATATAAGTATTGTTTTGTTTATGAAAAAATGAAAATAGTTTTTTTGTCTGTCATTGGTCAACCAAAACAGAAATTTATCAATAAATTCCTTAATTAACAATAAATACAGATATAAAGAGTGAATCCCGCAAGTTGCTTCAGCCTATAGAACTGGACATGTCCAACGGGGCCGATAGCGGAGCCCTATGGGCGCTTCTGCAGACCACAGCAGCCCCAGGCTGGCCTTTCCAGGGAGACAAAGAAAATCGACCTTGTAATGAAGTTAAATAAGTTAATTTTAGTGTTTACTAATAACCTGTTTTAATAAATTATATATCGAAACCTCTTGAATCATTATTTCTATTAAAAACCGCATCAAAATCCGTTGCGTAGTTTTAAAGATTTAAGCGTACATAGGGACAGACAGAAGGAAGCTACTTTGTTTTTAACTCTACTAGCGACACGGCCCGACTTCGAACGGTTGCAATACTGATTCTAAATTTCTCCGCTGTTTAATGGATGTGTTATACATATAAACCTTCCTCTTCAATCACTCTATGTATTAAAAAATCGCATCAAAATCCGTTGCGTAGTTTTAGAGATTTAATCATACATAGGGATATAGGGACAGAGAAAGCGACTTTGTTTTATACTATGTAGTTATAGTGATATTATTGGGAGCATTACCAAGAAGCCAAATTTATCTCTATCCTTTATACATATCCGTGTTCTCCGAAGGGTGTGACCAGGGTGTCTTCATGGCCCGAGTGAATAAGTTGCTTATGGACAGGCGTTGCGGGGAAAGCGCGGCACTGCGACCTGGCTTGGAGCAGAAAGAACGGGGGGTTTTTAGTCAGTAAGAGTCTGACACTGTCTCTAGCCTCATTCTGGGCGGGAGAAGTTATTTGATGATGTTCCCCTAAAAAGAATGCTTCATCAAAGGTCGCATCATTGCTTACCACAAGGACAGATACGCCTGCCCATTACAAATTTAAAATTAAAAAAAACCGCCGACAAAAAAATTAAAAAGAACAATTAAAAAGTAACAATAAAAAAAATGTGGCCTTGGGGAACCGATTCAAACATTTTATTATCAACTACATATTTCTATTTTGTCGGGGCCTATTTTTTATTTATTTTATACTTTTTATAGGTATTTTATATCATTTTCTCTCGATTAAGTCATCAACATTCCCTTTCAGTGCGCTTTCATTTGAGACCCCACTCGAGTATATTTGCAGACCTTCGGTTACCCTTCCCCACTTACCCCCATAACTCCTAAACAGCTTAACCGATTTTCGTCAAACATGTCTAAGAACACTCGCACGTAAGTCATCTTTAATAAAAAAAAATAACTAAATTGAAATCGCTTATCCGTTCAGGGTCCAGGATGCCACAGACAGACAAACATGTCAAAGTTACCTATAACACGCCACTTTTCCCGTCGGGGGTTAATTAAATAATAATATAAGTAGTTGATTGCTTACCATCAGACACAGACTAAAGACCACGCGTGAAAAAACTTCAGTAGGTACGAAAACAAAATCGCTAAAAGGTGGGGGTTGTGGGGAGAGGTAGTCTAGTTTTCATTGGCTCGTTTAAGGACACGTCAGAATTGACAATGTTGTTGTTTTGCTTTGATTCTTGGCGGCGGCGGAATGAGAAACAGAGGCGGGGCCGGCTCTTATGAAGTGTCACTGCCTAACCTTGGCGAATGCAGATGCCTGGCAAAGCGGTCTTTAGGTTGAGTCGTCTGTGCCATCAGATTATAGGATTATACACCTCGTTAGCCACCGTGATACATAAAAAAATGTATCTGAATTTAAAATGTACATAAAAACAACTCCATAATAAGACTCCTTTCCACGAAGGTCCAAGGCTGTTTAGGGCTCAACTACACAAATAAAAAACATCATTTCATTAAAAAAATATTTGATTTTATTTATCTTCTAAATAAATATGTAAATTACAAATATTATAGTAATCAATGATGCATCATTATTAAGCCTTTTTTAAGTGGGAAAATGATCAAATCAGTTTTTCTACCGTGGGTACGGCGAAAGGGAGTGTCAGACTCTTACTCACTAAAAACCCCCCCGTTCCTTCTCCTGCTCTGGGCCGGGACCGCTGTACCTTATTGCCTTGGCTCGCAACCTTAGAAATAATTGGCTAGTTTCGTAGGTCAAAAATAAATTAATTCGACATTTCAATGCAATAAAATATTTAAAAAAGAACTATACTTTACACTAAATTTTAGATACATATTTTGTAGCTAATTATTAAGAAATTTAACTATTTAACGCAAAAATACTATGACATCATAACTCCGTTTTTCATACAAATTTCATAGAAATGTATAGTTTTTGACATTTGGATAAAAGTATTGAATTTGACTAGTTGGAAACTACCGTATTACCTAGTTCCATATTATAGTATTCCATGTACCTAGCTATTAAAAGTATATATAACAATGTTACCATTTTTTTTTCTGAATTGAGTAACGGGCTTTTAGTACTAAACTATAAATATGACATCTTTTATAAAGTATCTTGTCACAAAAAATTACGAGGTTTAAAAAAGCCGCGGTTCCTAACATTAAAAATCATAATTTGCAGGGGGTAAGGTACCGCAGCCGCGGTCCTGAGTAGAAGAAGGAACTGGGGTGGTTAGTCAGTAAGACATCGAGAGGTCATTTGATGATTTTCCCAAATCAATAAATAAAAAAATAATACTTGATAGGTTTCACTTAAATCTAGATTATCTATAAATTATAGGTAGGTAATACTAAAATGAATATCACATTAATTTTTAATACTAAGTTTTAAATACAAAATTTCTTATAAAATTCACAATTAATTAATAATACTAAAAGGATTATTCAAAACCAACTTTTATAATAATCATGAGAGAACAACTCTTTGTGTGATCCACAAATTGTAGTTCCATGAGTCTGGGTGTGATGTGTATGTGACATTGTAGGTTTGTAACCGCACCCACGACATAGGAGAAAATGACAGTTACAAGTTTGAAATCGTCAATCCTCCTTGAGCATGGTGATTAATGCTTAAACCTTAACCGTGTGAGAAGAGGCCTTTGCTCGGCAGTGGGCACTTAAATGCTGGTTGATTCCTCAACCAATCTTCAACCTATCAATATGTTGGGGTCCAGCTTGTACTGCGTGTATCCTTAATAGATGTCTGACCGCGTTTCTGCGTCTGACGAATGAGTTCTGACATATCCTGCATTTGAAGGAATACTGTGGTGCCTTGTGACGATTCTTATGTATCCTCATTAGCGTAACGGATTTGAAACGAGCTGGACATTGATCGCACTGTGGAAGACAATTAAAATTAAATGAAACTAGTAGAATAAGTGTGGGAGAGCCATGCTTCGGCACGAATGGGTCGGCTCGACCGGAGTGATACCACGTCCTCACAGAAAACCGGCGTGAAACAACCACAGCGTCGTTTCGCCGTGTGAGTGAGGTTACCGGAGGCCCAATACCTGCCCCACCTCCCACCCCTTCCAAACCTTCAATATCAATCGTAACTCCTCCGTTGTTGCGGGTGTCCATGAGTGGCGCTGATTGCTTACCATCAGGTAATCCGTTTGCTCGTTTGCTTAGGTCAACTGGGAGTTGTCATGCTCACTCAGAACTCTCATTGGTGGTGGCACGGGCGTTGGATCGCTCAATTCCTTATTGTTTTCCGCCAGTTTCCTGTGAGTCCGTGGTATGACTCCGGTCGAGACGACTCATTCGTACCGAAGCATGGTTCTCTCACACTTAAAACGAGTAGTAGTAATTATTGTACAAGCTTAGTTTACCCACACTTAAAATGAGAGTAGCTAGTTATTAGTGTAATTCTTTCCCGAAGTCTGTGTTCCTCGAAGGGTATAACCTGGGTGTGTTCAAGGCCCGAGTGAATAGGTAGCTTATGGGTAGGCGTGATAGCGGGCAAATGTCTGACCATTCGGAAAAAAAAAACAAAAAAAAAACGGAGAAGTCCAAGCTAATATTATAAATGCGAAAGTAACTCTGTCTGTCTGTCTTTTCTTCACGCCAAAACTACTGAACCGATTTCTGTCATATTTGGTACAGACATAGTTTGGAACTCGAGAAAGGACATAGGATAGTTTTTATACCAAAAATCTGCAGGTATCCCACTATTCCACTCGAACGGAGTCCCTGGCAAAAGCTAGTATGAAATAAAATGTAAATATTATTACTTATAATTGATACCTGTACATTTTTTTCAGGTAAATGTATGGCGATATGCTGAAGGTAGCTACTCTTGCGGTGGAACCCAGCGCCGCATTCAGCACACACGAACGGCTTCTCGCCCGTATGGAGACGCTCGTGTATCTGGGAATAGCGAAGAAAGAAAATTAACCCCCGGTTTCCGAAAGGCCGATTTTTTTTGTTATTTAATAGGTCGACAAACGAGCTGACGGATTACCTGATGGTAAGCAATCAGCGCCGCCCATGGACACCCGCAACGGAGGAGTTACGAGTGCGATGCGACCTTTTAGGGATTAGGGATTTGGAGGTTTAGGGATTGAGGAGGGATTGGGGGAGGGGAAGGGTAACCTCACTCACACGGCGAAACACAACGCTGTGGTTGTTTCACGCCGGTTTTCTGTGCGGCCGTGGTATCACTCCGGTCGAGCCGACCTATTCGTGCCGAAGCATGGCTCTCCCACACTTAAAATCAAATGATTCAATCCGATCAATGTTAAAATCAATTTAATCTCTTGTCAAGTCATCTGATTGGTTGACTGAATTATCAACAACCAATCAGATGACTTGACAAGAGATTTAACAGGAGATTAGTTAATTTTAGCGTTGACAAGCATTTCAGAAACCTGGTGTTAGGCTTTTTTCCTGTAATGCAGTTGTTGTTGAGGGAGGTAAATCATTGATTGAGTTGAGGAGGAGTGTCATAAGAGTCTTCATCATCATTCAAGTGCCCACTGCTGAGCAAAGGCCTCTTGTCACACGGAGAAGGTTTGAGCATTAATCACTATGCTCGCTCAAGGCGGATTGGCGAGATCAACGTTTTTATGGCATAGGTCGGCAAACGATCAGACGGATTACCTGATGGTAAGCAATCAGCGCCGCTCATGGATACTCGTAATACCGAGGGTACCAAGGGAGTTACTACAAGTGCGTTGCAAGCCTCTTGTGGTTTATTAGGGATTTAAAGTATAGATTTGGAGATTCAGGATGGGAGTGGGAAAGAATTAAGGATGGGGGAGGGGGGGACGAATTGAGGATAGGGGAGGGGGAAGAATTGAGCGTGGCTCTTGGCTTTCCCATACTTAATCCTTATATGGGAAAGGCATGCTTCAGCACAAATGGGCCGGATCGGCCGGAGTGATACCACGGCCTCACGAAAAACCAGCGCGGCGTGAAACAACCACAGTTCCTTGAGGCCCAATGGCCGAATCGTTGTACATCCCTTTCCAATCCTTAAATATCTAAAACCCTTATCCCCAAAAGGCCGGCAACGCACTAGTAACTCTTTTAGTGTTGCGGGTGTCCATGGGCACTGCTGATTGCTTACCATCAGGTAATCCGTCTGCTCGTTTGCAGTATCTCATTAGGAAAGAAAAAAAAGTCCTCACCTTCACTTGTTCAGCATTGGAAGCTCTATAATCACAGAAGGAACATTTATCTGTCTTCTCATACCCGTGCTTGGCTCTGCAGTGCATCAGAAGTAATCGACGAGTGATGAACTTCTTTCCACAGTGCTGTGAATTGTGACACAAATCTATACTAATATTATAAAGAGGTAAACTTTGTAAGTTTGTGTATAGGGGGTAATCTTTGGAACCGCTGGTCGGATTACCAAAATTCTTTCACTGATAGATAGCTACAATGTTCCCAAGTGCTATAGGCTATAAAGCATCACGCTACGATCTGTAGGAGCCGAGCAGCGGGTGAAACCGCGCGAGAGTAGCTAGTTATACATAACTGAATAATATTATACATGGTGAAAATTATGTAGTATGGGTTTTATGATGATGGTTCTACCAAAAGTCCATTTGAGATGTGTTTACGGAATTCAGTCTTTGAATGATTGCTTGTTAGTTGCCTTCCTGATTTCCAAGGGCAGCCCATTTCACAGGAGAGTAGATTGAATGTAGAAGGAAGAGTGGATAGCATCAGGGCAACGTAGAAGAAGATTATGAGAAAAAATTGTACTTACTTCGCAAACTACGTCAAATCCTGTATGAATTTTATAATGATTGCGTAAAGATAGTTTAGAAGTCAATATTTTGTGACAATATTCACACTCAATCTCTTCTTTGAGCCCTGTCTTCTTCTCTCCATCCTCCTTTTTCCGTCTCAAAGTCCGTTTAACGGGCTTATCACTCTTTTTACTTCTCGTTTTCCGTTTAAAATTATTTTCTATTTCTTTATCATCGAGTTCTTGTTCTTTAGAATCATATATCAAATGGTCTTCGTGTTTTTCAATTTCAGCGTAAGTAGCGAAATCGTTGATTCCGTTATCATGGATATTGTAATCGTTGACTAAGTCTGTAATGTCTATTGATATTTTGCTATCGTTGTCTGATGGGAATATATCTGTTTCTAACTTTACGCTGCAGATTGGATTGTCGTTGAGTCTAGCTAGTAACGATTGGTAGGTTTCTTCACATTTTTTTCTGAATTTGTATGATGCGTTTATGAAGTTTATGCACGCTGTGCACATCTGTTGCGGTAAGGTATCGTTATATTCCACCTGGAATCGTAATATAAATATAACTTTTAAAAGTTTTTCAAGTTGGGAATTCATTAGTTAATAAATGAACAGTTATATCATTATTTCTCGCTGAAAATTGTGATTGTGGAAGTCTTTTATTGAATTTTAAATGTCAATAAACATTACCTTAAGTCCAGTAGCTGATAAAATCACTTCGGAATATTTTTGATGATAATTTACCGATTGAAATATTTGGTGCAATGATTCTGCACTCAGACATGTTCTACAACAGTTCCAAGTATCCATTTCAGCAAATACTATAGTATATATTTGAAATTTATTAATTTCAGTACAATTTTAAGTAATATTTCTCATTAGAATCATTTTACACAAAAAAAATACGAAGTACGAACAAAACAATAAGTATTTGACGCTACGGAACTTTACGGAAGTGACGTTTGCGTTTTGTTTTATATCCGCGTAATAATTTATTTTGTTTTATAAATGGTACATAAAGGTTAGGAGAAATATAATTAACCCTCTTTCAAAAAAGGTGGCTTCTTTTAATTAAATATGGAATCTGAAATAGAATTTCTTAATTTCCTATGGATTATATACCCCTATGAAATTAATTTAATTTTATAAACTTGATGATACATAATAAAACTAAACGATATTTTTTTTTTTTTTGGAGTTTATGGCCTGGATACGAGTCCTTTAAGCCAAGTCTTTTAATTTACTCGGTTTTATGTTATTATATACTTTCCAGAGTATTTTTAATGAAATTGTATAACGGCACTAAACACTTTGGATCACGTAGTAGATCTTCTAGGCGGCGGGAGGAAACATTATCTACAATTTCACTTAGTTCACTGGCTAAAATCAACCTTTGCATGTTGTAGTCACTGCATACCAACACTATGTGACTAATGTCACATAAGACGTTACAATTCAAGCACTTGTCATTTGCATCAAGTTTGAGTCTTGCAAGGTGTGCGGGTGTTCTATGATGTCCGAATCGAAGCCTGCATATAGTAGATATAAAATCTCGTCTGGCGTACTTGTATTGCTTTTGGTCATACCACGGTCTCACAGGTAAGTCCGATTGAATAGTACCGTACCACTTTCCTTTTTCTTCTTGGTCTTTCTTCCAGAAGTCTTTCCATACATGTTTTATGTTTTCTCTAATCAGTGCATAGCAGTCCGTAAAAGGTACCTTTACAATATTAGATACATTTATACAATTTATCCCATCAAATGCAGCTCTATCAGCGATTTCATTGCCAGTAATACCTTTATGTGAAGGGATCCACATAAAAGAAACTGAAATGCCTTTATTTTTTAAATTAAATAAAACTTCTCGAATCTTAATTAAAAGATAATTTGTTTTGAAATGAAAATTAATATTCTCTAATGCTTTAATCACACTTAAAGAGTCAGTCAAAATTAAATAGGTTGTGTAATGCATTGATGAAATTTTTTTCAGGGCCTCAAGAACTGCATAAGCCTCTGCAGTGAATATGCTACATAAAAGACTAAGCTCAAAGCTTTGACAAAACTGAATTTGAGCATCATAAACAGCACTGCGAACATGAGACAAACCCTTACTGCCATCGGTATAAAGTCTATAATAGTGACTGTTAAGGTGAATAAAGTTTAATAACTCCTCATTATTACTAACTACTGTATTTATAATTGAGACTTCAAATAACAATATCTTGTACTTTGTGGAGTAACATGCCCAATGAGAACTTTTAATTATATTCGAAATTTTAAAATGTGCTTCCAGGATAACCTGAGATAAATCTGGGATAATATGACAGTGAAGGCCAGCCCCAGTCACACCAGACACATTGTGAACTACTGGATACTGAGGTAAAATTCTTCTTAAAACTTCATTATTATTAGCTGCAAATAGCTTTACAGAAAATCTTTGAGCAAGTAGATATCTTCTTATACTAAGGGGCATCACCCCTGTCTCAACTTCCATGGCACGGATGGGAGTTGAGCACATGGCGCCAGATATTATCCTCAGACCTTTGTTTTGTGCTATATCTAATCTATGTACATAATTACAATCAATATAGGCTAGACAACTGTAATCAAAATGGCTTCTTACAATGGCTTTGTACAAAATAGCAAGAGTAACTGGGTCAGCACCCCAGGAGACTCCTGCCAAACACCTCATGATATTTAAGCCTTTCAAAGAATTTTGTAAAATGTACTTGATATGACCTTGGAATGTCAGTTTATTATCAATTTGCACACCTAAAAATTTATGACTGCTTACTATAGGAATTGCTTTATCATTGTATAACACAGACAAGCTAGGTAAATCTTTTGTTATAAACATTACATTACTTTTGTTGGGATTGATATTTAATCGAAGTTTATTGTTGTAGTAGTGATATAATTGACTAAGAGCATTATTAATATTAGCAATTGCCAAATCAATATCATTATGTACACTATATACAACAAGGTCATCAGCAAACTGCAAAATATTTACATTATCCATATTTACATATTTACAAATTTGAGATGTATATATATTATATAACAATGGGGACAAAGTTGCCCCTTGCATTGTTCCTTTTGACACTTGCCTAGGACCATGTAAAATATTATTGTGTTTTACATATAGTATTCTTTCATTTAAGAAAGAGTATATCCATTTACAAAATTTTCCTGGAATACCTAAATCAGACAGAATTTTAATCAAAATACCAGGTTGCACATTATCAAATGCTCCCTGTACATCTAAAAAGGTACATACTGCACTAGCATTATTATTTCTTGCTCTTTTCAGATCTGAGATAAGAGAAACAAAGCTGTCTGCACAACTTCTGCCTCTTCTGAAGCCAAATTGAATAGTTGGGATAATGCACTTCGATTCCACATACCAATCAAGATGAATCTTAACCATGTTCTCAAAAATTTTTCCAAGACAGGATGATAATGAAATAGGTCGATATGAGTTAGCATCATTGACTGGTTTATCTGGTTTAAGCACTGGTATCACACATTGTGTTTTCCAAGACAGTGGAATTACTTGATGGAGCCAAAGTGCATTAAGAATGTTCAGAAACAATTTTTGCACCAATATATGTAAATGTTTTATCAAAATATAAGGAAAGTTGTCCAATCCAGGCGCAGAATTTTTTCGGGAATGAAGACTCATATTAAACTCATGCCATGTAAAAGGTTCAATTAAAAACTGTGTCTCATTATTATCATTATTAATATTAAAATACATATCAACATCAACTATACCATCAGATCCATTATCTGATAGTTTATCTAAGAATGGCAAAACAAATTCATCAGAAAGTGATTTATTATGAGTTTTCCTACCCTTAAACATTTTAATATAGCTCCAAATCTTACTGATAGGAGTATTTCTATTAAAAGACTCACAGAGATTGCGCCAACCATTTTTCTTTTTTTCAGATATGGTTCTCTTTTTCAAGGCGTCTAACTTCTTATATATAATGTAGTTATCCATTGTAGGATTACTTCTATAGTATTTTAAAGCTTGATAAGACTTAATGACGCTTTGTTCGCACTTCTCATTCCACCATGGCGCTGGTGGCCTACTTCTATATGAACTAGTCTTGGTATACTTTGGGATGCAAAGTAACTTCAAAGAGCTAAGTCTATTACAGAAGGTATTATATGACTTCAAAGGGTTCTCAGTATCCACATTGATATCATTAAATAAAGTTTCAGATATTTCACAGTACTTCACCCAATCTGCTTTTTTGTATAAAAATTTCTCTATTGGAGGATTTGTTTGATATTTATTAACAGCTAAAGTAAGATTTGTAATTGTAGGGAAATGATAACTACCCATACTGTCATCATGTACAGTCCAATCACACAGTGGTGCTAAAACTGCACTTGTAAAAGTGATATCAATAGCTGATGGGTTACAATTAGGCCGATTATTTGTTGTGAAACTGCCATCATTCAACAAGCATAGATCCAACTCATCAATTATATCATATAGTTGCTGCCCTCTGCCCTTGGTGCTTACACAGCCAAAAGCAATATGATGAGCATTAAAGTCTCCTGAAATGAACACTGGCTTGGGCAGTTCTTTTATGATATTTCTCAATTTGTTTAATCTAGTATGGCCACTGTGTGGTGGACAATACACAGTCAAAATAGATAAGTCACCTAACTCTGTAGAAAGAGAAATTGCAACAGTTTGTACATCTTCATAAAATGTGGTTTGTAAAGTTGTATACTTTAAATTATGTTTTATGAGGATAGCTATTCCCCCATGTTCATTAGCTGCATTTTTGAAATTTATATTATATTCAGGAATGTGGAAAGGTTTGTTATCTTTAATCCACGTTTCATTTAAAAGGCAAATATCAATATTTTTATCATTAAGAAACTTTAAGAGTAAGGGCTTTTTACTGTATACACTTTGTATATTAAACTGAGCAATGCATAGCTGAGATTGTATATTGGAGTCTATATCCATTATGTAAGATTCTCCAGTAGAATATCTTTAATAGTTGTTGTATTGATTGGAGGATCACCCTTGCCCTTATTGGCGATTACAATGAGTGTGCGAACAATGGCCTTAAGTAAGTCATTATTTGCCAGGAGTTGAGCCTTGACATCAGCAACAGAAATTATTTTAGGTTCAGTATTTACAGGTACATTATTTATAGGTGCAGAATTTACATTTTTATTTACAACAGAATTTTTATTTACATTGACCTGAGGTCTTGGTTTGCGCAATGGTGGGAAATCTCCCTGAGTCACATTAAGTTTAGTTTCAGCCTTACTAGCGTAAGTAATACGTTCCTTTTTTTCCATTATCTTTTTTAACTTGATTTCGCATGCCTTTGAAATTGCTAAATGTGGTCCACCGCAATTAGCACAGCAGATTGCTGAGGGGTTATCACACTCTCTATATGAGTGGTCCCCAGCACAAATGCTACATTTTTGTTTGCCATTACATATTTTGGCTGAGTGGTTAAATTTGAAGCAACGGTAACATTGTTGTAGAGGAGGGATATAGTCAAAAATGCGGTAAGAGAATAAGTCATATTGTACATTTTGTGGTAAAGAACTGGACAGAAAGGTAATGCTCACTGTATGAAGTGGTACCCGTTCTTGTCCAACCTTTTTGGTGAATCGTCGGACTGCAATTATTTCATACTCCGACTCTAGCTTTGAGTAAAGCTCCTTGTTAGATAAGTTTGTGGGTACGTATCGGATAATTCCTGTTCTTTCTATGTCTGCCGCTGGTATGAACGCCTTAAAGTTGTACTTCTCCAGAAATGAAGAGTTACTTATAAAATTATTAGCAGTATTATACTGCTTGAACACCACCGCAATCTTGTTAGCATTGATTCTACGAATCGCTACTACACCTTTTACCTCATTTACAAATATATGATTTAAAAAGGTTGGACTTTTATTGCCAATTTTTTCACCCTGCACGTAAACTTTGAACTCCAAATTTGAAGAATTTTCTGGATAAAGTCTTTTGTATCCGGGTTTTAGATAGGGTAAAAAATCACTTTCCTTACCCCCGCCGCCATCGTCCAAGTCTTTAAGTTTATGTTTTTTTGGGGCCGGGGGTTTTGGGCCCCCGCCCTCGCCAACATCCATGTTTAATACACTATTATGTACACTTTACTATTTACATGCAATTTACAATGAAATAAAATATTAGATTCAAAAAAAATCACAAATGAAAAAACTTTTCATGCGCTATATTTGAACTCCCGCCAAAAAGTCCCAACTAAACGATATCTGGTTCTATGGATGTTGCTAGGTGAATATTACACAATTCTACTCAATGTAACAAAAGATTGCTTCCAAAACCGGAAAAAAAATATTAAGCGCAATGTCTAGTATTGAATAAATACAAGTTATATGTACTTTCTCAGTTTATTTATAAAACACTCACTAATGATGATAAAGGAAAACATCATGTGGAAACCTGAACTTATTTTCTAAGTGATAATAAGAGGCCGTTGCTAACCTAAGGCCGATGATGATTTTTAAAACAAATACCAAAACATTTACTACATATTCAAAGTGGCAACATTTTTTAAACTGTCAATGTCAACCTATACTACCTACTTGTATCAGTTGTTTATATTTATAAACTTGATCAATATTCACAAAAAAACACTGAGTTAACTAATTTAAAGTGCATAAATATCCTAAATTTCTATTGGTTTCATCTTAGTATTACAATTACTTAAGTATTTAAGTTATAATAAGTGTTATATATAAAAAATAACTTTGTAAAATTGGTAAAAATGCTCGCTTTATTACTTCTAAATAATATGACGGCGAAGCGTAGAGCTGCAAAACGGGTGCAGGCTGTGGAAAGGAGACCAGCTGTAAGGGATCCAGAGGTGGCATGCTGCAGGACTTGTCTTAACACCAACACTAATGATTTAATGTCGATTTTTCTTGACAAAGAAAGTGAGACGAAAAGATCGCGCGAATTAAAACTTGTGACTGGATTGAAGGTAAGAATTGTATTGCTTATTACAGGGTATTGGACATGTCTTGTCTTCAGTTTAGACTTAGTCAACATCACCACTCGCAATCGTACTCTTCACGTGGGTATGGCATACCCGAGTACGGGTGTATAGTCTACGCTTTTTTTTATTGTATATGTCTGCAAACCTGATGGTGACCAATCGGCGCCGCCCATGGACACCGGCCAACGGAGCAGTAACGAGTGCGTTGCCGATCTTTTAGGGATTAGGGTTTTGGATATTAAGGAATAGGGGAGGGATCGGAAAGATTAGGCCTCTGGTAAACTCACTCTCACGGCGACACACAACGCTGTGGTTTTTTTACGCCGGTATTCTGTGGGGCCGTGGTATTACTCCGTTCGAGCCGACCTATTCGTGCCGAAGCATGGCTCTCCCCTCATTTATTTATTAACTTGTTCCCAGATAAGAATGGATGATGGGCTCTCACAACAGATTTGCACCCGATGTGTAGAAACGATGACTATTGCGATGCAGTTCCGAAGAACCAGTCGCAAGGCTGAGAAGGAACTACGGAGTTTATTGTCAGGTACACTACCTACCCTACTCTACTTACCCTACACTACCTACCCTACACTATCTACCCTACACTACCTACCCTACACTACCTACCCTACACTACCTACCCTACTCTACTTACCCTACACTACCTACCCTACACTATCTACCCTACACTACCTACCCTACACTACCTACCCTACACTACCTACCCTACACTACCTACCCAACTCTACCAAACCTATTTCACCTACGCTATTATATGTCCTTCTCCTGGCTCTAAACTACCTCTCTGCCAATTTTCAGCTAAATCGGTTCAGCCGTTCTTGAGTTATAAGTGGTGTAACAAACACGACTTTCTTTTATATATATATATAGATTACGACTTACTCACGTGACATTAACTGAGAAAAACTCTAAATACAAACTACAAAGTTTCGAGTCAGCTGACTGTTAATCGTTATAATAGGTTTTAGGCCGCGTTCCGATGTAACTTAAAACTAACTAGAGCTTTTCTCAATTCACTTCAGTAAGTAGTTATTATATTGTATGAAAATCAATACCACTTTTCGTTGTAATGTTATAACTCAACAATGCCTTTACCGATTTGGTTAATTTTGGTCTTGAATTATTCGTGGAAGTACAGAAAATGTTTGTACGTAGAGAAAAATTAAAAAAAAACTTGAAAAAGTGTAAAATCACCATTCACACGGGCGGAGTCGCGGTCCATCGCTAGTTTGATCTGATCCGAACTCAATACAAACTAAAAAATATATAAATCAGCGATACAACCACAGCGTTGTATTTCGCGTTATAAAAAAATCCACGTGGATGAAGCAGCAGGCGACCAATATTAAAAAAAAAAAATAACGTCCTGGGGTCAATGGGGTCATTAGCCACTAAAATTTTATATATTTTTAAAATTACTAAAAATTTAATATACTTATTTCAGTCTGCGATCGCACCTGCACAGAATCTATAAGGAAATCTGTAAATCTTCAGCTCCGAAGGACTATGAAAAGACCAAAGGTAACTATTTATTTACTAATTAATAGCTTTAACTCGAAGCTTTTTTCTGTTGTGTGTTGAATAGTCAATTTATGGAGGAAGGCTATAGGCTATAAAACATCATGCTACGATATTTAGGAGCCGAGCAGGGGTTGGAACCGTAAGGGAGTGGGTAAATATAACTTTAAAGTTAAATCACACGTGGCATCATCAGCCTATAAGTGCCCACTGCTGAGCAAAGGTCTCTACTCATGGAAAAGGTTTGAGGCATTAGTCACCACGCTTGCTACTAATGCTCAAGGTGATAGACGATTTCAAACTTATAATTAGAAATTATAAGTCGAGGTTTCCTCACGATGTTTTCCTTCACCGTCTGTCAGTGGTGTCTAAATATTTTATTAAATATAACGACTGGCTCCCGTTAATTAATTGAGAAAATCTCAACTAGTTTCAAGCCAGAACGGGACTCTTATTCATGAGTAGCGTGCGCGTTGCGGTGACGTAGCGGAGCTAACTAAGCAAACTAAAAAAAAACAAAAAAATAACTGACAAAGCAGTAATCAACAAAAAACGTAGCCTATAATAAAAGTGTTTCAATATCTTAGAAAGTACTTACATATAACTTAGAAAAAAGTCACATTGGTATTTTCAAATTCAAAGACTTTATTGCATTCATGTTACTTACATTAATTGTTGTTACAATAATATACCCAATAGATCGTGCTTTGGTTGTTATAGCATGCGATTTTATTTAACTTGCCAAATAGCTTTAACTGATAACATTATTTTTTATATTGTTTGTACACATTATTTAAGATAATTTTGTTTTAAGGTTTACTTACATATTCTCACATATTCTATTCCCCCTTTGTAAAGGCAAATATCCAAAGCGTGCGGTGTTTGCCTATAATTGGTTGTGCAGTGATACTTATAACCAGATTGGACACTTATTTATACATACACTAGCTCTTACCCGCGGCGTCGCTCCCGTCATTTTATTACCTACCCTACTCTATCTACCCTGATCTACCTACCCTGATCTACATACCCTACTCTACCTACCCTACTCTACCTACCCTACTCTACCTACCCTACTCTACCTACCTTACCCTACCGTACCCTACCTAACCTACACTACCTACTCTATCCTATGTCCTTCTCCCAGTTCTTAGCTACCTCCCTACGAATTTTCAGCTAAATCGGTTAAGCCGTTCTTGAGTTATAAGGATTATAACTCAAGAACGGCTAGATATAAATAGATTACTGTAACAACTGTTGGCAGACCATTAATAAATAAATAAATATACGTAAGATCCAACATGAAACCCGATTAGGACATGGCAACATAATATAGTAACTTAAATTTTAATATATTATAATTATAGTAATTTAAATATAAATATAACTTGCCAGGTTTCTTCCAATCAAACCTTATGCGTATGATGTGGTGGAACCTTCTTAACTTCAAAATGACACAAAATACAGACTTTATCTAACTTTTTAAGGTCGTCCCAATGCCTCGAAGTAAAGTGACACCCAATCCAATGAAGAGTGCGAAAGTTGAGAAGGTGGAACTGAATGATTATAGTTACGAAATATGTGGCGAGGAGTTCCAAAATGATGATGATGATGATGATTATTCAGCTGACGTTAAGCCGGAAACGAATGATGCTAACAATGTGGCTGAGGATTTGGTAAGGTCATTTCTTTATTTTTTTTTTGCCTTTCATTAGGATTTTCTCCTGTGTCGTGGGTGCGTTTACAAACATACAATTTCACTTACGCTTCACACCCAGACTCGGAACAACAATTCGTGGATCACACAAAGAGTTGTTTCGTGCCTGAATCGAACTCACTACGTTGCGTAGCAGCCAGTTGCCCAGTCTAAATAAAATATCTATTAATAGGTATTGTATATACCAGCATCGCCCAACTCAACCATATTATAGGGAATTGAGCGATCAAGTGACTGTGCCAGTGTGACCTTTGAGTGAGCATGACGACTCCAAGCTGTTATAAGGACCGACATTCTGCTAGTCTAACCAATAGTAATAGGTTACAGGGCACTCACATTTACAAATTGATCATATTTGACAATAAAAGTGGCATAGTTACAATTTTACTTTGAGTAGTTCTGGTTAAGCAAGAATGCTCTGGAACATTATTTATTTTCGTGTATCCTGTGGAGCAGGAACAGCCTGTCTCCAAGCATCTTTATTTTCAATATAATCATCATGTTAAAGCATTTTCTCACCTCCGTATAGCAAGAACCACCATCGCCGCCGAAGCAGAAACGCCTTCCAAACTGCTCGTCTTACAAGTGCGCGACGTGCAATAAAGAATTTCGTATGAAGGCCACATACAAAGCGCATATACGCTTTCACACCAACTTCTGTGTTTGTGAAGTAAGTATTTCCCGTAGCCTTTTGAACAGTTCAAATCTAAATGTGATGGGACATCAGCCGGCATTTATACCTGTATGCACTATAAAAGTGCACCCAAGTACAATCCCCGGTTGATGCAGGACTATTGTGCAATATGTTTGTTAATTATATTGTTATGGGCTGGTTTACAAAATTTTAATAAGCTCTCGAGTCAGTATCACTCATTAGATCGTTATTATGACTATATATTTATATTTACACTGATTACTCTCAACTATTTTTAGATACTCGACTAATTTAGATCCAAACCGAAGCTCTAAATTATAACTTTGCTATATTTTTTTTATAACTTTCGTGAGACAATATAAATTAATGCGTTGCTCCTATACGAGTAGCAGCCCGACAGACGCCGCGTCGCGTGTCGCGGAATGCTGCTCATGAATATGGGCCTCTAGCATGGCTTGAAAGTTAAACCTACTCGAGTATCTCGTCAAATTATTACGCGAGTAAGCCGAAAACATATTATAACTTTGCTGTAGCACGAAAGTAGTCGAGCATCCTCGAATAACAAATAAAAGACCTTCTTCGCGTCCTATATCTGTCTCACTTTTACCCATTGCTTTCTAGGTATGCGGAAAGAGATGTCGCAACAATAATCAGTTACAGGAACATAAGCGCGCAAGACATGGTCTCTACAAAATTCATAAGTGCGCGTACTGTGAGTACAGCTCTGCCACTAAGGAGGCTCTTATCGTAAGTATTATCATCATCATCATCATCATCATCATCATCATGGTGATAAGTCAGCAAACGAGCAGACGGATTACCTGATGGTAAGCAATCTGCACCGCCCATGGACACTTCCAACATCAGAGCAACTATGATTGCGTTGTCAACCTTTCGAAGATTTAAGGATATGGGAAGGGGGAAGGATTGGGTCTTCGGTAACCTCACTCACACGGCGAGATAAAGCTGTGGTTTCACGCCGGTTTTCTGTGAGGACGTGGTATCACTCAGCCGACCCATTCGTGCCGAAACTTGGCTCTCCCAAAGTTTCGTTATTGAGCATTAAAGTGTACTATTTGTCGTAGACCTCCCTTAGAGCGAGTGTCAGACTCTTACTGGCGACAATGCACGCCATTCCTTCTTCTGTATAATGAGAGCCAGGAGGAGAGACATCGTTTTCGTAATGCAAGAGAAATGTTGACAAAAGCTTTGCTATCTGTCTGTTTGTTAAACTTAGGGACTTCTTCTCCAATCTTCCCCTTCTACCATCTCCAATACCAATGCCTTATGACCCCAAAAAGGCCCTCAGCGCACGTGTAACTCTTATTGTATGACGGGTATCGCCCAATGCTTACCACCAGGAATTCAGTCTACTCGTTTTTGCATTAAAAAAAGTTATTTTTTCTTTTTACTTTATTTCCTTCACAAAGTCAATCTCAAATGATTAATTTCAAGTAGACCAGTATAAGGTTATTTGAACGTCAAACAAAAAAAAAACTATCAAATTCGTGTGTCAGTCTGTCGGTCAGTCCTCTAGTGAAGCTATTTGCTCGTTCCAAAGTGTAGATTCCTATGGAGAAGAACGAGCAAGAAACTCCATGGTTACTCTTTTTAAATCAGTTTCACAATCCATTTCTTTGTTATAATTTACACAGATTCACGAGCGCCGCCACACAGGCGAACGCCCCTACATATGTGATCATTGCGGCGCCACCTTCCACCGGAGATCAAACCTGGTACAACACATAGCAATACATCTCCCTGAAAACAACTTCCAGGTAAAAGTGCTATATTTCAAATTAATTTATTTGCATACCATAAGGGCTTAAAGCTAGGTACATATTATGTACCGTGATAGGGGACAGCAAAAGAAGGCATATTAGTATATTATGGTGCAAGTGTGTAATGTTGGTCATAATGAATATGTCATTTGACCCCCAACACTAACAAAATATGTTTTTGACCCCCAGCACTAACAGCATGTCTTTTGATCCCCCAAACATAAACAAAATATGTCTTTTGATTCCCAAACATAAACAAAATATGTCTTTTGATTCCCAAACATAAACAAAATATGTCTTTTGATTCCCAAACATAAACAAAATATGTCTTTTGGTCTCAAACACTAACAAAAATATGTCTTTTTGACCCCAACAACATCAAAATGTGATTTTTGATCCCCAAACTGACAAAACATGTCTTCACCCACAACATTAACAAAAATATGTCTTTTGACCCCCTTATACCAACAGAAATATGTGTTTAGACTCCCAACAGTAGCAAAATATGTTTTTGACCCCTAACACTAACAGCATGTCTTTTAATCCACAAACATAAACAAAATATGTCTTTTGATCCCAAACAGAAACCAAATATGTCTTTTGACCCCCAAAAGTAACAGAATATGGATTTGGACCCCAACACTAACAAAATATGTCATTTGACCCCCAACACTAACAAAAATGCCTTTTTACCCTAAACACGCACAAAATATGTATGGCTTTTTGACAATAATGTTGGAGACATTAACAAAAATATGTCTTTTGACCCCCAACGCTCAAAATATGTCATTTGACCCTCAACATTTACAAAAATATGTCTTTCCATCCCCAACACTAACAGCATGTCTTTTGACCCCCAAACACTAATAAAATATGTCATTTGACCACCAACACTAAAAATATTTCTTTTGACTCCAAACAGTAAAAATATTTATTTTGACCCCAAACATTAAAAAAAAATATGTCATTTGACCCCCAGCACTAATAAAATATGTCTTTTGCCCCCAACAGTGTGACATGTGCCCGAAACGTCTGAAATCGCGCAAGTTTCTACAAATACACAAATACAATATGCATACTGGTAAACGGTACGGCTATCTATGCAGCATATGCGAGCATCGCTTTGAGAAACCAAATAAGGTACGAGCCCATATGCGAAGAGTTCATGGCGCCGCTGAAGAACAAATCGGACCTATAGTTAGGGTACAATTGTAGACTTTTATGTGCCTAGGGTTATTCGCAATATGGAAATTAGCTATAGATCCAGAGTCATCGATATAGCTCTAAAAATCTGCAAGCTGGAGTGGCAATGGGCAGGCCACATCGCTCGAAGAACGGACGGACCGATGGGTCAGAAAAGTACTCGTGGCGACCACGGACCGAAAGGCGTAGCGTGGGCAAGTCTCCAGCTAGGTGGATCGACGACATCGTCTAGAGTCGCGGGGAGCCAATGGATGCAGGTCTTATGGAGAACTAAAGCCTTTGTCCAGCAGTGGATGTCTTCCGGCTAATGAGGATGATGATGTGACTAGGTCGTAGGGAAGACCTGGCTTGTGCCTTTTTGATGAGGCCAAGGATTCTGGTTGGCTGCAACTTGATTACCGCTAGCGAAGAGAATGACGATGAGTATAGCCAAGCTGATCTGCATCGAAAAGTAAAAGGAAAGGGTCGAAAGGGATAGAGAGTTCTTTAATAGGAAGCATGCTACGACCAGGCGAGATATTCATGCCTAGTGGGTAGTTGTACGGTGAGATTTTCCAAGCACGTTTCTTTTTATTAGCGCGATGTAGGACTTGTGATGTTATCTGTGGATTTTCATCGCCGATCTTCTGTGTAAAGAAAGAAAGAAATCAAACAGACACATGCAGTGCAAAAAACCATGTAGGTGCATATTAAACAAAACATTTTTTAAACAATTATAGAGAAAATATATGAAGAAAAGACACTGCGTGTCTCGCGGCCGCGCCAAATAGGCCCAGTTCAGCAAAAAAATGCCAGCCAACGGTTGTATGTGTTATCCATCATATGCCCTTAAAGCTAAAATATACATAACGTTGAGCCACGATTGATGTGTTTCCCTCACTGAGCTGGGTTAAAAGAGAAAGAAACAAACTACCACAGTCGGCTTGTGACCACGACCTGTGCAAGCAGGTCGAAACGTCAAGCCTACCAAGGTATTTAAATAATTATTTACTATATGTTGTAAATATGAGACGCGAAAGTTTAAAAGTTAGAAACAAACTAATTTTGTTACAAAGTAAGAATTTGAACCTCTTTTTATTATCTCGCCTGGTGGTAGGCGATGATGCGACCTACGATGGAGGACGCCTACGTACAAGCAATCTATTCACTCGGCTTCGAAGACCTGGTTAGACTTTCAGGAAACACAGACTACATCTCTATAAAAGCGGTTCTTATGAGATAACTTGAACTAAACTCGTTCGTACTTTAGGTAGGTTTTACAGTTTGTCTGGTAAAGCGATGATGGAAAGGTTTTTTAGAGGAATTAATTTTGTGCAATATTTACTTCTTAATTACTACATAGTATAAAACAAAGTCGCTTTGTCTGTCCCTATATCCCTATGTACGCTTAAATCTTTAAAACTACGCAACGGATTTTGATGTGGTCTTTTAATAGATAGAGTGATTGAAGAGGAAGGTTTATATGTATAATACATCACATCATACATCATCAGCCTATAAGTGCCCACTGCAAAGTCCTCTTCTCATACCGAGAAGGTTAGAGCATTAATCACCACGCTTGCTCAATGCGGGTTGGTGATTTCAAAGTTATAATTAGAAACTGTAAGTCCATGTTTCCTCACGATGTTTTCCTTCACCGTATGTCAGTGGTGTCTAAATAATCATAGAAAGTACATATAACTCGAAAAAATTCACATTGGTACTTGCCAGGTTTCGAACCCTCATGCATGAGAAGCGGGCGCCTTAACCTCCGGGCCACACATTTTAAATAGTGGAGACCAGTGAGTCACCGCTAAGATAGTGTCCTCTTATTTTGAAAATAGAAAAGCTAGCTCCTCACGGATGCTATGCTGACATTAAACATCTCCACTATATAATGGATGTTATAATACATATAAACCTTCCTCTTCAATCACTCTGTTTATTAAAAACCGCATCAAAACCCGTTGCGTAGTTTTAAAGATTTAAGCGTACATAGGGATATAGGGACAGAGAAAGCGACTTTGTTTTATACTATGTAGTGATGTATTACTTGATATAAGGATTATACAATTGTATCTATGTAGTTTTAAGTAGGTAATACAGCTATAATATTATCTTATTGTAAAATATATATTTCCCTTCTAATGATTATATTGATTAGAAGAAGATTTAAGATCTCTTAGATTTTAATATCGATAATACTTAGATCTTTATTGAATGTTTGAAGACTTGTAAATTATGATTTAATAATATATACTAGCTTTTGCCCGCGACTTTGTTCGCGTGGAATAGTGACTTCCTGCAGATTATTAGTTTAAAAACTACCCTATGGTCTTTCTTGTGTTCCAAACTATGTCTGTAAGTACCAAATTTCAATAGTTTAGGCGTGAAGAAAAGACAGACAGATAGATAGAGTTACTTTCGCATTTATAATATTAGTTTGGAATGTAATTTTTATTCCATAGATCTCTGTGGTTTATTTAATATGAGTTTTTGTATAATTTACGATGACAGATTTATTGAAAATAACGATAACGATTATTCACTCGAATTTACTGTCAAAAGCTCTACTAGGTTCGGCGACGTAAAAGCAGAATCTAGTAGAGCAGGAGAAGGAACGGGGGAGGGGGGGTGTTAGTCAGTAAGAGTGACACTCTGTCTCGCCTTACACTGGGCGGGGAAGTCATTGGATGTTTATAAATAGTCAGATAAATGTTATCTGGGGAATAGCATTGTTGCTGTCACTGTCTTATACAAACATCATAATTATTCCCAAGTAACTTTTATCTAACCATTGAAAAATCAGCCCTTAGTCGTTATTTTCAAACATTTACAATGTTTTTATATCCTGTAAAAAGCCTTAATTGTGAGACAGGCGTGGCAGTTATGTATTTGTACATATTTATAATTTAATTCAATTGCATTTATGTAAATTATTGATGAAATAATAGGTAGAAATAGCCTTTAAGCAATTTAGCCACATTTTATGGGTGTTGTATTTTACTTAGAATATTTTGATTTCTTCGATGGATTTTTGTAATTACAACAACTCCTTTTATGTTGGAGAGGGTTATAAGAATATGGATGTTTTAATACAATCAAATATTGAAAAAGAACTATACTTTTATTCATCGATCTGTCGATACACTAAATTTCAGATATGTTTTAGTTAATTTTCAAGAAATAAGTAAGCTATTTGGCTCAAAAATACTATGACGTTATAATTTGGACTTTAATACAAATTTCATAGAAAGGTACCACCTGGTGAGATAAAACCACAGCCCCAGTGGTAAAATAGTAGTTTTTAAATTTTTGTGATATACATATAGTAATACTTTTAATTATACTACATCTTTTAATTATACCTACATTAATTTAAGATTTAAAAAGTGTATTTTAGACATATTTAAGAACACTTCTGAAAATAATTGAGATTTTAAAATAAAATATTTCGAACATGTTTTGTTTTTTATTAAATGATCAAGTTCAACCTTTGTGTACCTACTTCTTCAAATAATATCTTAGCAACCAAATCTCACAAGTCCCACTATCCTAAAAAAATTTGACGTACTACGGTAATTAAAAATATTCATGAATATAATATTCACCAAATTTTTATGGAATAAAAGGCAAACGAGCTGACGGATCACCTGACGGTAAGTAATCTGCGCTGCCCATGGTCACCCTCAACACCCTAGAAGTCACAGGCCTGTTGCCGGACTTCTAAGAAAGTGTAGGTACGCTCCTTTTTTGAAGGTATGAATTTCATGTCAATTCAGGATTGCCGCCGCCGAAAGTTAGATAATTCCAAAGTTTTGCTGTTAGTTCGGTACTAACCATTTATGTCATGGGGATGGAAACGTTTTCGTGTGGGACGAAGGCAAAAAGATCAGGCGGGGATTAAACCGAACGGGGATTAAAATAAAGATCTGCAGTTTGATTATTTTTATTTATTTATTTTATACTTAGTCGGGTCATAAGTTCTGTCAAAACCTTATATTTTTAATTTTCGATTACTGGCCAGAAATTCTTCGACTTATTTTAAAAATAGAACTTTCGCGCTTGTAGAAAATAAAAAAGAAATTATTTTTTATTCATTTTTAAATATGGAGTGGTCGAATAAAGAAGACAGAATCGCGGTTATCGCGTTGCACCGCTGTGGTTACGCGCCAAAAGACATTTTCAATATTCTTCAAAATTTGAAAATAACGTTACGGTTTGTTTATCGTACTATCAAACGATACACCGAAGAGTCAAGCTTCGAAGATCGTAAGAGAAGCGGCCGACCTCGCACAGTTCGGACACATAAGGTCATCAAAGCAGTGAAGGCGCGAATCGAACGAAATCCCGTACGTAAACAAAAAATCCTAGCTCTGCAGATGGGGCTAAGCAGAACCACTGTTAAAAGAGTACTAAATGAAGACCTGGGACTACGAGCTTATCGTAAAAAGACAGGACATTTTTTGAACGAGCGTTTAAAAAAAAATTAGGCTAGACAGATCCCGCGCTTTGCTACGACGGTACGCGGGAAAAAAATACCGCGAAATTCTTTTTTCGGATGAAAAAATTTTTACTATTGAAGAAAGTTTTAACAAACAAAATGATAAGGTGTATGCCCACAGCAGTGAAGAAGCAAGCGCGCGTATTGCGAGGGTCCAGCGTGGGCATTACCCTTCCTCATTCATGGTTTGGCTTGGAGTCTCATATTCAGGCGTAACTGAGGTGTTTTTCTGTGAAAAAGGTGTGAGAACTAGTGCCGAAGTTTATCAAAATACTGTCCTAACAAACATAGTGGAACCTCTTTCTCAGACAATGTTCAGGAACAGGCATTGGATATTCCAACAGGACTCTGCACCGGCTCATAAGGCACGAAGTACGCAAGACTGGTTGATCGCTCGTGGAATTGACTTCATCCGGCATGAAGACTGGCCCTCTTCTAGTCCAGATTTAAACCCACTGGACTACAAGATATGGCAATATTTGGAGGAAAAAGTCTGTGCTAAACCTCACCCGAATTTGGAGTCTCTCCGAGCATCTCTGGTTAAAGCAGCGGCAGACATAGATATGA